CCCTATCTCTCACCATGCACAAAACTCAACTCAAAATGGATCAAGGACCTGGGAATAAAACCAGAGACTTTGTGTTTAATAGAATAAAAAGTAGGCCCTAATCTCCATCATGTGGGATTAGGCTCCAACTTCCTTAATAAGAYTCTTTTGGTGCCAGAATTAAAATCAAGAATCAATAAATGGGATGGACTCAAACTAAAAAGTTTCTTCTCAGCAAAAGAAACAAATCTGTGAGGTGAATAGAGAGCCTACATCTTGGGAGCAAATCTTTACCCCTCACACATCAGATATAGCACTAATCTCTAGGGTATATAAAGAACCTCAAAAGCTAAACACCAAAAAAACCAAATAACCCAATCAATAAATGGACCAAGGACCTGAACAGACACTTCTCAGAAGATAATATACAATCAGTCAACAAATACATGAAAAAATGTTCATCATTACTAGCAATTAGAGAAATGCAAATCAAAACCACTAAGATTTCATCTCACTCCTGTCAGAATGGCAGCTATTATGGATACAAACCACAATAAGTGTTGGCGAGGATGTGGGAGAAAAAGGCACACTCATACACTGCTGATAGGRCTGCAAATTGGTGCAGCCAATATGGAAAGCAGTATGGAGATTACTTGGAAAATTGGGARTGGAACCACCATCTGACCCAGCTGTCCCTCTCCTCAATCTATACCCAAAGGACTTAAAAACAGCATACTACAGGACACAGCTCCATCAATGTTTACAGCAGCACAATTCACAATAGCTAAACTGTGGGACCAACCTAGATGCCCTTCAATAGATGAATGGATTAAAAACTGTGGGGGGTGTGTGTGTGTGTATACACACACACACACACACACACATACAATGGAATATTACTCAGCAATAAAAGAAAATAAAATCATGGCATTTGCAGGTAAATGGATGGAGTTAGAAAAGATAATGCTAAGTTAGCCAATCCCAAAAAACCAAATGCTGAATGTTTTCTTTGATATAAGGAGGCTGATTCATAGTGGGATAGAGAGTGGGAGATGGGAGGAACAACAAGCTCTAGATAGGGCAGAGGGGTTGGAGGGGAAGGAAGGAGGCATGAGGTTATTAATGATGGTGGAATGTGGTAATTATTATCCAAAGTACAGGTATGAATACAGGAACTGGGTGTGAATATACTGTGTATACAATCAGAGATATGAAAAATTGTGCTCTATATGTATAATAAGAATTATAATGCATTCTGCTGTCATATATGAATAAAAATTTTTAAAAAAGGTCAGTAAAACCCTCTCACACCAGCCCATATTGACTCCCTGTTGCTGATACAGGAGAACAGTCATTTTAAAAATAATCATGAGAAAAAGAAAAAACAAAATAAAACCCCTTTCAAGTCTGAAATTCAAATATTTCAGAACAGAAAATGGATGGACAAAAAGATAAATATTGGGGCTAGGGCTGTGGTTCAGTGGCAGAGTGCTTGCTCAGCATGTGTGAGGCACTGGGCTCGATCCTTAGCCACCACATTAAAAAAATAAAATAAGGGCATGCTGTCTATCTACAACTAAAAAAAAAAAAAAAAAAAATCACCATAACACACTATCCTGGGTTTTAAAACCACAGGCAGCCAAAGTCTTTGGCATTTGCAGAGTTAATATTTGGTTTTGACTCTTCCCAGGCCACCCTAAATATCCACACGCTGGCAGTTGGTGACTGCTGAGACACAATCCTGACTTAGGCAAGCAGTAAGACAAGCACTTGGGAGCCTGCCTGATGACCCAGCACCTGCTTTTCAGCGAAGCTCTAGGGCTCTCCACTTGTCACCACGCATCAGGTCAGGAAGGGGAATTATAATCTCAAGTCATGTTYTRGMACTCGAGATTCCTCAATGTGCCARTAGCTGAAGTGTCCAGTTACTGCAGTACTTGGGGGGCATCAAGTGGATCTGAGAGACCACTCTCAACTAAACTTTAAAGCAATTATTTCTGCGGCTGATACTCTCCCACAGGCTCAAAAATCAACCCCTGTTCAAGCTTTGTCCCATTATCCCACATCAATTTTATTATATATTAAGCAGAGTTCTCAAGTAACTGCCTACATTCCCTATTGTCACAGAAATAATTACCCTCACCCTCCCTCTGCTTGATTTGTGGGATCTCCATACTATCCATCTTCATTTTCTTACTAATCCTGCGTAAGTACACAACTGCTGAGCTGTCGAGAGAAGCTGCAAGTGTTTGTCGCTGAAACTCGACTCACACATTTTTGAAGCCACTCAACATTTTCACAACGTCTGCTCCATACCCATCACCTGCATCACCTGGTGAGAATGTGGGTGTTACTTCTGCCCATGCGTCTCTACCCTGCTGTGGATCTTGCTTCGCACACCACTGTCCACTCTCCTCAGCCTTTTCACCTTCTTTGTCTTTAACCTTWTCCTCGGTAACCTTCCCACACCCCTTATGACTCTCAGATGATGTAGTGGCCAAGGGGAGTCACCTTTGYAGTCCATATAGTCCTGGAGAATATCCAACATCTGGGTCATCTGAGAGAAGAGTAAGACGCGATGGCCCCTGGCAAGAAGAAGAAAAGGAGAAACTGCCAACTCTAGTAGTGTTTACGGGGCGTGACCCTCAGGCAACATGACCAAAGAGGACAACTTTACACATAAGGGAAATGCTAAAGTAGAAATATCAATGTCCTGTAACTTTYTCAGAAACTCTGAATACTTTATACAAGAAGACAAAGTGCCTCCACATGTACCTGCATCCCTCAGAGCAGTCCCAGGACCTGTCAATTCACCAGGGAGTGTGGAAGCCCTGGCGTAACCAAGGAGCCTCTTTCCGGAATATCACTTCACTCAATGAAAACAGAAGTTTCATTTCAATAGWAAAATAAATATACATGTGAAGAGTAAAGGCAAGGTACAAATATGTGTGCACCCRCTCCCCAAGATCCTGAAGAGCTATGGAAGGCTATCTACTGCTATTCTCTACTTGGCGGTACAAGTCATTACCATCTAGAAAAGTCGAGAAGCATCATGTTACAGAAGCAATCCACCATGGTACACAAGAAACTTACATATAGAGAGGAAGAAAGGAAAGGAAAATTCAAAATAATGTAGAAGAAACAAAGTCAAGGTGACAGCCCTTATCATCAGACATTGTTTTAAATTTGCCTGAACAAACAAGGACAATGTTGTCAAAACAATATTTTTTTTAAGAAAACGAACTTACCTTAATGTTGCCAGGAGAGTAAGACCAAGAGTTAGGGAGAACATCGGCCAGACTCTAGCCCCAAATTGTTGGAAAAAGCACTGAGTTTGAAGGTGAGTACCTNATCAGATATTGTTTTAAATTTGCCTGAACAAACAAGGACAATGTTGTCAAAACAATATTTTTTTTAAGAAAACGAACTTACCTTAATGTTGCCAGGAGAGTAAGACCAAGAGTTAGGGAGAACATCGGCCAGACTCTAGCCCCAAATTGTTGGAAAAAGCACTGAGTTTGAAGGTGAGTACCTBGATTCTTATCTCTCTCTGCCACTTACTACCTRTATGATATTGGGCATGACCTTTCGAGGTCATGAAAAACTTGGATGGAAGGTATCTATAGGTTCTTCTCCATCTCTAACACACACACTTATGGTAGATATGTCAAAGGCCATAAAATACACTAAGACGTGTAATTATGATTATTAACAATTTTTTATATTTACGTTTTAGTCATAGTTGAACACAATACCTTTATCTATTTTATTCTTTCAATTTCTTTAGGTGTAGATGGACACAATAACTTTGTTTTCTTTATTTATATTTTTGTACGTGGTGCTGAAGATCGAATCTCCTGCCTCACGCATGTGAGGTGAGTGCTTAGTCACTGAGCTATTTATTTATTTTTGTGTGGTGCTGAGGATTGGACCCAGGGCCTCGCATGTGCTAGCTAGGCAAGCACTCAACCACTGAGCCACAACTCCAGCCCCAAGACATGAATATTTAATTTGCAAAAGACTGGGCAATTTTGACAAATCTGAAGTTTTAGGTTAGTTCAGGCCACACCTGGGGCAATCATCCTCAAGGCACAATTCTGAAATTCTTGAGTCTCTGGTCTTTTCCTAGACTCCCCCTTTCCTGTGGTGATGAAGATGTACATGCTGGATACCAGGCTGCTGAACACTAACCAAATGTCATCTTCTGATACCCAACTTGCATTTCTGGGAAAGAGTATTCCCCAACTACGCCTTGAGTTTAAATCAAATCCCAAAGATTAACAAGAACCAATGTTTACTCAACCTTTATTATGTGTCAGTTCAACTCAAGGAAGCAGCAGGCAATTTTAAAAGAAATGCTCAATGTTGACTCGTCCTTGTGGATGCAACCAACATAGTTGGACTGATGAGGTGAACAAACACTGATCAACAAGGTAGCAGAGTAAAGTAGGGCTTGCCAAGTCCTGGACTGGGATCCTAAATGCTGTAGGAATTCAGGAAAGAAAGGATAAAGGTGGAGGAGTGGGGTTGGATGAGATGGAATGGGGGGTGGGTGTACAGTTGCAGAGAAAGTAGGCCCTGAATTCCAGGCTTCTAAAAAAGGGAACTTGAATCAGTCTCAAGAATCAGTAAGTTCTTCATTACTCAGGTTTGAACCAGTCACTCCC